GGTGGGGGAGAGGAGCGAACGGCCTCCTGGTCATGGCAGAAAGGAAAAGGGAAGCCCGTGGCGGCCAGGATGTCACAGCTGCAGGGGCCTGATGTGGCTACAAGGTACATGAGTTGACATTGGTCGGCAACGGGGCAGGTGATATGTTTCTGGGAGCAAACCATGCTCTGGAGTGAGAATGAACTCGTCTAAGAAACTCCAAGGACATTCACCAGGCTCTCCCGTTCCCTGGAAACGTTCCCTCTCTTTCTGTGGGGACATGTTTTACTCCCCAGAAAGAGCAACTTTGCAAGCTCCCTGCGCAGCCCATTTGTAGAAATGAAGCACTGAAGCGTCTCTGGGGACAGAGAGGCTCTGCACTTTTAATCTAAAATTCATGACAGCTGCTCTCAAAAGGCATCGAGGGCAAAGGGCAAAGGCCTTGTGAGGAAGAGTGACGTGACTTTCTTCAACTATTTTGGTTCTGTAACTGGAGGAAAATAGATTTTTTAAGTGGCGGTCAACTACAAAGAATTTCAATGTACATATACAAGGTACAGGAGACCCAGGCAGAAGTCCTCAAAAAAATATAAAATGTCTGTATGTTAATGCTCAAATGCGCTCAATGCACTGTATGCATCCGAACCTGTACGCCTTGTAGGTATTTTTAATGACAGCCCATCTTTGTTCGCAAACTGCAGGTCTAGGTGATAAACCAAACTGTGGGACCTGTGTCCCTTTGACTTGAATTGTGTCATAGAAATGAAAATAAACCAGACTGCTGGACTGACTTGTCAGGAGGAGGCAGGTTAGGGATGGGGTTCTAAATTTTAGCAGGAGCACTGAAAACATGATTGAAAGTTAGGAAGGAGTTCTACGCTTTAGAAATAAAATATAAAAGTTAACTCTTTGAAGGAATTAGAAGACAGTGATATAGAAATGAAACTTTTCCATTTACTTCATTGAAATGGAATTATGTTCATCAGTAGTTCATTTTTATTTAGCCTAATTCTTAGTAAACAACAACGTTAGAGCTGCTTTGCAGAACTGTAATAATCCTGGCACAAATAAAACAATTTGCAGTATCTCCCAGGAGAAGCCCGGCCTTGGTAAAGTTTAGTGAGGAATCTAAGCCAGACTGCAGCCATTGGCTTTGGCTTTGGCCTCTGTTGGTATTTTGTCACTTTGCCATGCACCTCAAATAAAGCAGCACTAGTCCATGTAACGAAAAAAAAAAAAAGGGGTGGGATCTTGAGACTCTCCCATAATATAATCCCTAGAGCTTTTTCAGTTTTGTCAAGGCTAAAATCTGATGTCATAGTAACTAAAGGAAATTCTAACTGGTGTTGTGGTAAAAGTTTTGCCTCCTGATTTGGAAGCATGGAGACCCTCATTTTGCTGTTTCTGAAAGCTCTGTGTTCCTTTGGGAAAAGCCTTTGGACTCCACCATAAGGTGGGTTGTGAAGCTAATCACTGCTGGAGGCAAGAAGAGGCAAACCCATTCCTGGGAGGAAAATCTGCAGAAAACAGGTCATTGCAGGGACAGTGCCTCGCTCACTTCTGAAGGCAGACAGGGACTACCAGGANGCAGGGACAGTGCCTCGCTCACTTCTGAAGGCAGACAGGGGCTCCAAGAGAGCTGGTGCCAACATTACCTTATTTTTGTACAACATTTAGACAGAGGGAGGGAAGGAAGTAGGGGAAAGAGCATGGCGGTGAAATTGGTTTACCCATCAAAGAGTAAAATTTATTGCTCTGGCAGACCCTCTGTCTAATAAAGGCCGAGTGGGAGGTCGGTTGCTGATTTAACAGTCTGTACAGGTCCTTTGCTTAAACAAGAGATTAGTTTGAATTCACATAATCCCCTGAACCATACAATTATGCAATTAATGAAAAAATTTAAACCGAGTTTACATTGATATTGTCAAGTTGAACACAATCACAAGCTTTTGAATTCTAACATAAATTATATGGTGCAAATTCACCTCAATTAGATACAGTGAGTTAAAACAATTGGGTCTTGCCTGGCGGTGTGGTTCAGTGGTTGAGTGTTGACCTATGAACCAGGAGGTCATGGTTTGATTCCCCCGTCATGGCCAGGTTTCAGGCTCCATCCCCAGTAGGGAGTGTGCAGGAGGCAGCTGATTAATGACTCTCTCATCATTGATGTT